TGAAATTTAGAGAAGGAAGTGGTCACCCCAACTTGACTCACCCTTTTGTGTGCAATGCAGGGCTAAAGTTTAGAGAGGGAAGTGGCTATGCCAAGTTCACTCACCCTTTTGTGATGCAGGGGTAAATTGCCATTTCAACTTGACTGACCCTTTTGTGGGCCATGCAGGGGTAAAAATTAAAGAAGGATGTTGCCCTTCCAAGTTGACTCACCCTTTGGTGAGCCACCCGAGGGCAAAATTTAGAGAAGGATGTTGCCATTTCAACTTGACTCACGCACTCACTTTTGCCGATTTGATCTTGATACTCACACCCTGCCTCTACACTTTTCGAACAGGAGGCCGATTCTACCACTCGATGTGTCTTACTCCTGTGCATAGATTTCCTGACTTTCGTTTGGCTCTGTATAATTCATTGCATGTTTTTTCCGAGCGCTCGTGGGGGGAGGCGCTGCGCCCTCCCCCCCAACCCCCCTTCCGCGCAACGAAATCTGCAGATAGTATTCAACGTCCCTGCCATGAAATCAGGCTTTTAGTGGAACCTTGGTAAACCTTGCCCACCAAATCTGCAAATGCTATTCAAAAGTCTTGCGACGAAATCTGACTGTAAGCGGAACCTTGCCTGTTGAACATTAAAGCTGCTGTTATTCTAGACAAAAAGCCAATCAGCCAGGAACCAACAACTTAGTATGACACACAGGAAGATTTGAGCGGAAACTTGACTTTTAAAAACTAAAGCTGCTGCTGCTGTAAAAAAGAGGCCAGAAAGACAGGAAGAGACAGGAAACGTGATTTAATCCCCCTCCCCCAACCCGCCCCTGTGCCACAAGATTCCTGCCACGAACTTCGACTCTGAGCGGAAACTGCCTGTTAGCCAGGAGGCCAGGCAGGAGGAAAGAGATTAGTATACAGGCCGACGCCCAGCCCAAAGAGGGTTCGTGGTAGAATTTTTTTGACTAAGTAATTAGTTTTTTATTGATCCCCTTGAATATTTTTTTATTGATGCGATAAATAGTTTTTTTTGATACTTCACCCGTGATTCGCGACGGGGCGCTGGTGAGGTCGATGGAATTCTGGTATGAGAAGTTGAAGACTTGCATGAGTTGGATGGTGAACTTGCTGCTTACTGCTCTTATTGTTCTTGACGTCTTGGATGAAGTTCAGGAACATGTGAATTGGAAGCAGATCTGAACAAATTGCCTTCAAACTTTGCGCTTGCACTCGTTTGACAATCTCGACCGCGTTTACCGTCAAGGTGACTGCGGAGACGCGAGAACAGATCTCTGCAATTCAGGCTTCTGGCTCCAAGGGGCCTTGGGGCATGTCGGGACCTGTATGGGTCAGACGGATCCTGTAGATATGTTTGATTTGCAATTGATCCCACAGTGAAATACCCCAAAGGGACAGGCAAGTTTCGGCTATCCCTGCTTAGAAAGGGGTAGAGTCTGGTAGAGCAATCGAGCTGTCCTTGTTGTGAGCCAATTGGCAGTTCTTGATCCAGAAGCCATGGTAATATATGGTAATATATGATGAATTATGATGATATCTTCTTTCTTACCACCTTTTGGCGCCTTTCTCCAACCACCTCGCCGCGAAACGTCGGTTTGACGTTGTTCTGAAACGAGACCTGTGGAGATGAAGACGAGGCGAAAAGGCCATGTGTTTCATGAGGCCAAGGGAGCAAAGATGGCTTTCATGGTCTTGCCTGATGCGGTGCAGAGGACTTACACAGAGGTGAGGAGACTCAGTTTGGTCGAGCAAATCGGGGAAAGCACTGGATTCTTGATGCTTCTGGGTGGTTTGTGAGGTTTCGACTAGACTGGTTTCCACAATTGACCTGTCTTGGTCTTGGTGGAAACTGTGGGAACCCAGTTGGAATTCTGGTCCCACATGGTTCTTCAAACTTCGCGCGGCTTTGCATGTTTTTTCCTCCTTTTGGTCTTAGATGGATGCCCTTTTACGGCCATCACCGAGCCACCGTCCCTCTACGACGCTCCAAGAAGGCCTGGCCTCTTTTCTTCGCGGGCCGTGGACTGCACACTGGTTGATGAGGTGGCCATCACCGAGCTCGCAGCCTTCGTACACTGGCGGAAATCGCAGGCGCGTCTGGAGCACAGGGCCTTGGCGGAAATCGCTGGCGGACATCACCGGCGCTCCGGACTGCGCACGGTGACGATTGCATAGTCTGAATGGCCCCACCTGAACGACATAAGAAAACACATTGGCTAAGAACTGTTGAAGAAGTTCTTCACTTAAAGAACATCCCTGCAAACACTTCGTCGTGACCGTTGTGACCGTGACCGTACCGTCGGTCCGTTCCCCCGAACCCGAACCCGTTGCAGGTGGCCCTCCAGGAGAAAGGCGAGATCCCTCCAGCCACGGAGTTCGAGGCAGAAGTCGGAACGCGCGAAGTCGGAGTTCGCGGCCGGAAGACGACTCCGAAGACGGCGCGAAGGAAGAAGGCGTGAAGAGACGGGCACTTTGTTTGGCGCGGTCAGGGTGGCTGGGATTTGCTGAACATCGAGGAGAAGAGCGAATGGCTGCCAGAGGAGACCTGGGAGATTGTTCAGACCGGTGGAACCCTTTGTTGGGATGTGACGGCGAAGAGCAAAGGTCCATGATTGTAACATAGTGACCGGAAGGTCAAGGTACTGCTACAAGCTCACAGAAACTGAGGTCCCGTTTGGGTGGCTCAGTGGTTGTGGAACTTTGAATTAAGGACCCTTCACAGCATGTCAGCTAAGAGCGCATTTTTTGCATTCCAGAATCCCCGAGCCTTCCTGGCGGCAGATGCGCAGTGGGCGTGGGCTCCCAGGGAGAGGATGCTTTTGGGAGATAGCGTTGGCATACATGCCTTCATGTCACCCCACCCTGCATCATGCCTGCAAGAGAGTTACTGGAATAGCAGGAGTTCCTAAATACTGGAGTTCGGAGTCACAGGGTCATGTTTTTTTGGCCTTCTCACGTCCACCCCGAATCAAAGTCCATGACCAACCTGTTTTCACTTTTTGCCAACTCCGCCGACCGCCGACCCCTTGGTTTTCCGCCACACGTCCGGGGAGGACGTTGCATGAGCTCCGACGGGGGGGGCCAGTCCACTCGGTGCTGACGCCAGGTGGCGTTGCTCGCTGAGCATCCGCTGCGAGAGCCAGGCGAGGACCCGCTACCGCGAGACCCGAGACAGGTGCAAATTGGCCATGCAAATCTTGCAGCTTGGTGTTTCTATTTTGTCCAAAAAGGAATGAGCAACACCCGCTTTGTGAAGCTGGACCCACAGCCAGGCGCTAAGCCCAGCGTGGGGGGGGCCCAGACGCCGTTGGAGTCCTCGGAAGGGTGCGGCTGATTCCCAACACAAGTTCCTTCTTTGCTAGTGCACACACAAAAACACATATCAATACACATATATTATATATATATAGGCTTAGGTGAATGCAACCCTTTTGTTGAATCCGCCTATCACTATCACACTGATATAATGTTATATTTGTGTGAGATGGATTGCAGAGTTCCACGATGATAGGGACAATGTATCCCAAGGTGCTTTATAGGCGATTGTGCAGACCACCATGAGTTTTTGGTCAAGCATTCACACTATGTTGGCAAGCTTTGTTTGTCCGACACCTCATGTCCGGAAAGTGTCCTCTTGAGGCTTCAAGTCTGTCATCCATCCTTGTGCTCTTGCCGAGCCCGGCTTGCCATCGTTGTGGAGGTACCAATCAAAGGAGAAGCCAGCAAGAGTGCTCCCGTGAAGCAGCAGGCACAGTATGGCAGAGCACGGCATGGCATGCCACAGCTTGGCACAGCATAGCGAAGTGACTCCCAGATTAGCCAGATTCTAGCTAGCATTGCTGGCTGTGAAGATGATGAAGATAGGATGCGATGAAAGGAAAGGAAAGAAGCACATCTTTGGACCGCTCTTCTGAAAGGCAGTTGTCAAGAAGGAGCTGAAGCAGGATCCTCCAGTCTGTGAGCTCAGATTTTTGGAGGCTGAGATGAGACGCAGACACAGGCATAAATCATCATGATTTCATGTTGAAATCTCTCTACAACCTCCAGAAAATTGTACTCCTCAAGTGGTGCTGCAAAGCAACATGATTCATCTAACTATTCTTGGTTGGCCTTCAGCCTTGAACTCCCAAGCTACTTTTGAGGCGAAGGTTCAGAAGCAAGAAGCACCAAAGGAGAAGGCAAGAGGAAGGGCATCGTGGAGAGTGAAAGCTCTCGACACCCAGTGCAACGACACCCAGTCTCTCCGCCTTCCGACGCGGACGGTCGGATTGGACGTCAGTTCACTGGACGGACGAAGGACTCGTCTTTCACGGCGCCCGGGATGCGCGAATGTATTGGGCAGGCCGTTGTGAAGCAGGAGCCCACGAAGCCGAAGAACGGGACCGAGGCACCAAAGAAGGCCACTGAGAGAGGTGAACGGAGGGCTAGTGGGTTAAGATGGACGACAACAGATGAGCAACTTCACAAGAAGAGGTCAAACAAGTTTTCTTACATGATGAGGGCTCATTCTTGCTTTGCACAGTTTATTTTTTTTTGCTGGCTGGAACACCTACTCCCATCAAGGGCAGAAGACGAAGTGGGTCTGCAACTCCGTAGAACGATCAGGCTCAGCGAATGCCTAGATGATGGCCACAATGACTTCAAAGTCAGCCTACCAGATTTCAAGGAGCTCTTGTGCCAAATTTTTGTTCCTATACAGATGTACACCCCCAAGCTCTTGGACATCAAGGCGCATCTGCCAGAGGAGATTTATGTAAAACTTGATGGCCTTGCGTGTGCATCCCCGAATGAAAGGGAGGTACATATCTATACTGATGGCTCCTATACCAAGCGAATGCCAGATTTGGCAAGTTGGGCACTTGTGGTCTTTTTTGATGAAGGGACAACGTACCCATGCCACTGTGAACTTGCAAAAGTGGCGCTGGATTCCCTTGCAAGTGGATGGGCTGGCCATACTACTGCTTCTGCAAGAGCAGGCGAGGAGATGGCCCTTGTCCGAGCAATCGAATGGTGCCTAGCATATGATCGACCTATATGGTATCATTTCCATTTTGATGCACAGAGTGTTGGCTTCAGTGCAGCAGGAAGATTCGGGTTCCAAGCAGATGATATTCCGCAGAAAATTCTGCGTGGCCTGGCGCAAGCGCTCGAAGTGCACTCTGATAGGCGAGTGATGTGGCATTATGTAAAAGCACACCAAGGCAATCTGGGAAATGAACTGGCTGACGCCCTGGCCAAGCTGGCCTTGAAGACAGATATCGCCAGCCCAGAACGACCTAGGCCAGAATATGCGAATTACTGCTTCGGCAAGAGAGCGCCAATTGAACACTTTTGGTGGACATTCCATGAGCTGCGGGGGACAGAAAACCTGCCTAGGGTGTTCGATGGCACGATTCATTCACATGCTATGAGTAAAGCAAGCAGCCAAGGGTGTAGACTTCCAGCAGCCCTCTCCCAGCCATTCCCTGAGAATCGTTTGCGTGAAAAGATGATCCGGTTATCCGTGATGACCTACAATGTCCGGACCTTAGCACCTCGGAAAGGCAGTCATAAGGTCGGCTACCTCAGGGAACAACTAGCTGATGAAGGGTTCCATATCGCTTTCCTCCAGGAAACGAGGGTCAAAACATCTAATCTGATAGTGTCAGAGACGCACTTTCGTGTAACCTCTGCTGCTATACAAGGACTAGGAGGCACAGAAATTTGGATTTCAAGAAAAGATGTGCATACTGGGCGAATATTATGCGACAAACAGAGCATTAAGGTACTGTATCAAAGCCCAGAATTCCTGCTTGTACGAGCGATTATACAGGGTAGTACGCAGTTGCTTTTTTCTGCTCATGCGCCGCACACTTCGAGTCCTGCCGGAGTCACCCATGAATTTTGGGATGTCTTTCGAGAACAGATGCTCCGATGGACGGCTGAATGCCCCAGTTTTATCGGGGGGATTGATGCTAATGCACATTTCGAACATCCAGCGGAGCCACACATAGGCAACTATGGACTAGAAGCAAAGGGAAATCTGGCTGCTGATCTCTTCAGGGATATGCTCATGCAGATTAATGCCTTTCTGCCGAGCACCCATTCTTGGTGTCACACTGGACAAACAGAGACATGGGTTAGTAGTGCAAACGGACAGAGGTCAAGGTGCGACTACCTAGTTGTACCACTAGGGTGGATGTCCGGCCAACTACGCACTTATTTAACCAAGCAGGTTGATTCGGGGAATCAAGGCGAGGACCACCTGCCGTTGGCGGGAACCTTCCGTGTCCTGTGCTCCAAGATGCAGGCAGTGAAGATTAAGCCAGAATTCGACCGTGACCAAATACATAGGACAGATCGGCTCAAAGTTCAACAGGCGTTTGCCGATCCACCGATGATTCCATGGAATGTTGATGTTGACGAACATGCAACCAAGCTGTCTGACTGGGTTTTTGAGCGACTCATGTCAGCCTTCCCTAAGCCAGAAGCGAGAGCCCGAAAAAGCTATATATCGCCTGAGACATGGAAATACAGGCAAGCTAGGTTGGATGAGAGATCAAGCTTTCGTGAAGAGAAGAGCATCATGGCAAAGCTCACTTTGTATGCTGCATATCAAGCATGGTACAAGGATAAGCCTTTGAATGCCCTTCTTACTATTGGGAAAGCAATTGCTAAATGCATGCACCTCTGTGTGAAGGGGAGGAATTTAGCACAGATGGGGAAAGTGCTCACCAAGCACCTGCGTGATGATAGAACTGCGAGTCTGACAGAAATTGCTGCTAGTACTGCCAACATGAGTACTAAGGACCTCTATGCGGCCCTCAGGCGCATCGGGATTCAGAGCAGGCGCAGACCGAGCGGCGTACAGCCGCTGCCCCTTGTGCGAGATTCAGAAGGGAATCCCTTGAGCACATTCCGTGATTTGGCTAACCGATGGAGGGAGCATTTCGCTGAACAGGAAGATGGGGTGAGCATTTTACCACAGCAATTCCTTGATGACACAGCAGGGAAGCGCGGACTCCCAGTGGTTGTCCCGACTTGGGAGCACCTTCCTACGAAGATTGAGATCGAAACGGCATTTCGAAGCACTAGAAGTCACAAGGCTTACTTTGATGACTTTGTCCCGGGAGACCTCCTAGCGAGAATTCCAGAAGTCATGGCACAAGCATACTACCCTTTGATGCTGAAGCAGGTCATGTTTCAAAGGGAAGCTTTGCTGCATAAAGGAGGGAGATTGATCCCCTCTTTCAAAAAGGGAGACCCTTCCATTTGCAGCAATTACAGACCCTTGTTTGTGTCAAGTGTGGTTGGGAAAGCCCTGCATAAGGTCTATAGGCAAGAGCTCAGCCAGACGCTGGAAAACAACCGACTGTCCCTCCAAATAGGAGGCCTCAAGGGTCATTCGATTACACAGGCATCCCATTGCTCGCACCTGCTACAAAGGATTGCCCTCCAGCGTAATGAGTCCCTGGCAATCATCTTCGTAGATATCCAGAATGCCTTCTATCGACTGTTGCGTAAGCACATTACGGTTACGCCTGATGACAGCAGGACGATAAGAGAACTTTTTGCAGGATTAGGGCTACCTGAACAAGCGTACCATGAGTTCCAGGAATGCATGAATCAGCCGCCGGCACTAGAATCGGCAGGAGTCTCGCCTTTTCTGAGGACACTGTTCGGGGAGTTTTTCACGGACACATGGTATAAAATTGAAGGGGCAGAGCATTGGACAAAAACACGAAGAGGAAGCAGACCGGGGGACAGTTTTGCCGATGCGTGTTTTGCCTTTGCCCTTTCGAAGATTCTCCGAAGCATTGATGCAGATTTAGTAGCAGAGTTCCCATTCATCAGCATCGAATGGAGCGGGCATCATGACCCCTTCGAGCGACATGAGCGACACCAATTAGGACCCCTTCTGCCAATTTGGGCCGACGATATCTCATTGGCAGTTCGGCACCCATGCCCTCAAATATTGTTGAGGGAGGCGCCGCGAATCGCGTCGCTTTTGCTGCACCGATTAGCGACAGCGGGCTTGAAGCCAAATATGAAAAAGGGGAAGACAGAAATGATCCTTGACCTCAGAGGGCCAGGGTCACTGCAGGCCAGAAGAGAACTCGTTGCGACAGGATATCAACTCTCATTAGAGACAGAATTGATTGAAGACCCGTTGCACATCACACATGCCTACTGCCATTTGGGCACGATCATTGATTCCAAAGGGCGATTCAGTAGAGATTTTCGGCAAAAGATGGCTGTAGCGCACGATGTGATCACTCGCTACAAGGCACAGCTTTTTAGCAATCGGGGCCTCGATCTAAAACGCAAGATGCAGCTTTTCGATGCACTGGTGATCAAAGCGATCACTTTCAATAGTGCCCTATGGCAACCACAAACCCCCAAGCAATGGGCGCAGGTTCAAGCTGGCTTTCTGAGATTGTACAGAAGAATCTGCATGTGCCACTTTGTGCCGGGGGCCAAAGAATGGAGTGCCAGTAAATACATGCAAAGCTCGAAGTCCCGCAGGCTGGGGTGATTTTGCGTGCTGCCAGACTCAGGTACTTCTCACAGCTGGTCAGATTGGGACAAGCGCACACCTGGGGGCTAATCCAAACTGAGCAGAAATGGTATGGCCAGATCTGTTTTGATTTGGAGTGGTTGTCGCGGCAATGTCCAGAAGATGAAGTACCCGGAGGAGGATTCGAAGACTGGCCCAAGCTATATGATCGCTTGCGCTCCCACCAAGGTCAGTGGAAACGCATGATTCGTAAAGCAGTGAAACGTGACATTGCTTACCACAGACGTAAATTTGAATGGGAAGAATGGCATGCTTGGATCCACGATTACCTCACACAGGCAGGGGCTTTACCAGTCCGAACATGTGAACAGCCAGAGAAAATGCACTTTTGTTTACACTGCAAACGGCAGTTCTCTAGTGCTGCTGCCCAAGCGGTCCATTCCTTCAAGATGCATGACCGTCGACAGGCTGCTCGATATTTTGTCACAGGTAAACAGTGTTTGCACTGCTTAAAGCATTACAACTCACATGTGTATCTAGTGAACCACGTCAAACGAAGCACAGCGTGCCTCGAATACTATCAGAGTGAACCAATCTTGATCGATCCAGAACCGGGAGTAAATAGCCGTGTTGCAGATCGTCTCCAGCAAAGCACCATTGACCCATTTCTCCAAGCAGAAGGACCGAGGCTTCCTAAGGATTCCAACTCGATTGCCGACCCACATTTGTTTGGTGAAAAGACCAAACTGTGGAATGCTTGGAGTGATGCGATGAAGACGAGTCTGAGTGCATCCCAAGAACTATGCAGCCTGCTTCGACAGGCCACGTGTTTTACTTTCCTGACACCGAATGAGATACTTGTTGAATACCAAAGATGGAAGCAAATGATCCTCAGAGACAATGAGGAGCTTACACTTCGACAACTGCATGAACTTGCGTGCTTCGAATCTAGGTTTGGATTCGCATGGTTTGTGCAGGCACCGATTGTAGAAGATGAGAAAATGATGAAGGCCAATTTGTTTTTTGACCGCGAAGCGGCTTCAAATGCATCATTTGCCTTTGTGCGTTACAAACTGCCACAATATAGGCCAGTGCTTTTCGCACATTTTTTCTCAGGAAGAAGGAGAAGTGATGACTTTCAGATGTGCCTCGATGCCTTAGGCATGCAAGCCATATCGATTGACATCATATATCACGCAGAGGCTGGTGATCTATGCAACCCCGCCACATTCGATCTCTTTCGGCGAGCCATAGAGCAGGGTATAGTTTGTGGGTTCCTAGCAGGACCCCCCTGCGAAACGTGGAGCCGAGCGAGGGGGAAGCAATTGGCCAGCGGCGAACATGGACCGCGAGTAGTTCGATCCAACGAGTCACCTTTCGGTCGAAGATGCTTGACACTCCGTGAGGATGTACAGGTCAGCTTCGGAAGCAGACTCCTAGGCGTGACGATGAGATTGTTCTGCGTGGCACTTGTGAATGGGGCAACAGCCATCGTTGAGCACCCGGCACCGGACGAGCAGAGGCCAGATGAAGTGGCAATCTGGCGAACGGCCTTGATTCGGACGCTGCTTAGATTCCCAAGATGCTCACAGCAAAGGGTCCTTCAGGGGCACTATGGTGCCAGGTCAGCAAAACCTACTTGTCTTTTACTGGCCAACTGCGATGAATCTGCAGAGCAGATCTTGTTGAGTGCGAGAAGCACTGCACTCCCGCAGGAGGTCAGTATAGGAAAGAATAATGAAGGCGGTTGGAAAACTGCTATTTTGAAAGAGTACCCCGCTGGTTTTTGTAAAGCACTAGCGGCGGTTGCAGCAGTTAGCCAACCCACTGACCCGAAATCTGAACCCATACCTACCTGGTTCATGGAGAAGATCGAACCTTTGCTTGCTTGTTTCAACGAGGAAGCCGAAATGGGGCCAGATTTCGGGAACCAACAACGAACGCATGAGTAATTAATAATTAGATGCAGTGCTGCTACAGACAGATGTCTAAGGCGTGTGCAGTAAAAAAAAAGTTGCTGGCTGGAAGGCTGTGGTGAAGCAGGAACCAAAGCAAAGTGAGCCCGCCGCAACCTTAGCCGTTTTCATGCGAATCTGACTTGCGTTGCTCAAAGTTTGCTCCTGATGACAAGGCAAAGACGGCCCCAAAGCAAGAAGCTCCGAAAGGGAAGGCAGTGGGAGTGTATGCAACAGGCATAAGCCAGGCGAGTTCTAGCTTCACTCTGGTGACTAGGCAAAGCAAACAGAAAAGCAAGAAGCTCCCAAGGAGAAGGTGCAGACAGTTGTGTTCGACACCGTGCATCCAAAAAGTAGTCTTCCAGTGTGGCTCAAAGCAAGGCCTCCATCAAACAGGAACCCAAGTCAAAGGTGCCTGTGCCAGCCCTGAGCTCAGCGGTCAGTGTGGTCGGTGTGCGATGTGGAGATGATTCTCCTGTCACTGAAGGCGACCGGGCCGGACAAAGTGGAGAAGGAAGCACCCAAGGAGAATGCACAGGCATCACCATGTGGAGTAAAATTGATGTAGTTCACAGGTTCACAGGTGGTCCACAGGGATGTGACACTGGCATTTTTTCAGGGATGTGACCTACTGGACTGGTCTGGCCTGCCAGAACCTTCGCTCACCGCGACCTTTGGCGGGCGAACCCCCGTCCTTGGGCGGAGTCCGTCCTCGTCAGGCGGTGAAGCACGAGTCCACGGAGTCAGTCAAGGAGCGGCCATGAACGGTGGGGGGCTCTCCTGGGGGGTGCCGGATTTCCGGGTGGGGCGCATGATGGTCAGACGGGGTGTATGGTTGATACACTAGTAATAGAGGAATGATGAGAGTTAGTAAAGGCCGGCTGCCGACATCTCAAGAATCATGATCATTTTTTACTGATTGTTACTGATAGTCGGACACACTCTAAGGAGGTGCATGGGCTCTGTTGGGTCGCTTCTCTCCCCGTTGTTCTGCAGAGAAGATGGTGCGATCTTTTCCTTGTTTGGACCTGCGGATGACCTGTTTCATCCCGGGTTTTGTAGGAGTCGAAGCGCAAAGAGAAACCAAAAGCAAGCCACGACCTCAGAGAATTCAGGGCTCAAAGTTCAAAAGCTTTCTTCAAGGGGCGCTTCTTTTCTTCAATCCTAGCCAAAGAACTGCTGCTATGCAACACCTCTGGAATTCTTGCTGGCCAAAGAGATGGAACTTTCCTCCGTTGCTCTCTGAGCGCTTCCAACGACCCTTGGGTTCAAGCGAGTCTTGGGAGTCCTGGTAAATTGCCGTGAACATGGAATGACAAAAATAATCGTAGGCAATACGAAGTGGGGCATAGCTAATCCCAGCAGACAATGCTGAATTTAAGTTAAAGCACCCGCACCCAATTTGGTTTGGCAGCACCGGGATGTCATCCAAAGGCAAATACTGTAGATCTATAGATTCTCGCTGGGTTGGATTGCTCACGGAATGACTTGTTGGTGATGCCAGGACTCGAGGTTCAAGAAAACACTCGTCTGGACTCGAAGGGTTTTCTTGGTGTACGTCTCGTCCTCGTCTTCGTTCTGAGGGGAGAACTCGAAGGCGAAGCCGGGGAAGCCCAAGGCGCAGCCAAAAGCGCCCAAGGCCAAGGCTAGCGACTGGGGTTGAAACCCAGAAGGGAAACGAAGGATTTGGAGGGTAGTTGGTGGTCGGTTGGATGTGGTTCCAGAATTGATATACAAGATGGCACATATAGTGGCACATATGTGTGAGCCACAGCCAGTCCGTGAGCAATTTTAGGTGCGTGCCTTCCCTTGCAAAAAGACTGAATACGGGGGCAGGGTTGAATGTTCGACCCACATACGAGATAGAAGATGGGAAGTGTGCGGGGTTCCCCCCGAGACAGACCGCGTGAGACAGATCCAACCCCCCTTTTGAGGTCGTTACTTTCTGAGGTCCAAGATGCGTGAAGCTTCGGCTGTTGTGAACGTTTTTTGAGACATTTCCCGGACCTGGCACAGGCGAAGGTTATCAAGGCGGCTCCCAAGACTTCTCTGGAGCAGAGGCTGAATGGTAGGATGTCTCAAACTGCCGCTGGCTGTGCACACAGGAAATCTCGGTAGTGGCAGTGGCAGCTTTGAATTGCAGATTTGGTTGCCTTTCTGGTACAGTACATCAGTACATGGGTTCTGTGGATTCTATGGTTGAGCTCTACCAGACTGGCAATGTGCTTCAGGCTAAAGAAGAAGTCCGCACGCCAAAACCGGGAGGCACGATCATGCTGTCGAAGCACTTGCTTTAGATGCTTTTGGTCTGAAAGGATTTATGTGCAGGCCGAAGACGACCATTTGATGGCACTGGTGCCCAGAAGCACGTGACCTAGCTACTCTTCTAACAGACTCTGTGAATTTGGATGTCGGATGATGACTAAACGATGGCCAGAAAACAATGATAGGAAGAGATGGCACTCACACTCTCTCCTTCTCTTGGAATCTTGAGGAAACGATGCTACCGATCTTCACATCACTCCCAGGCGAGGATGAACCGGAGGAAGCGCCGGAGCCAGACGTGGCGGAGCAGGCTCCACTGCAGGCGGCAGATCCTGGGGCGCCCGCCCCACGGGGGCGTGCACCCCGTGCGGCGCGCGCGCCACGTGCGCCGCGTGCACGGCGGGCACCTGTGAACCAAGGCCAGGGCACTGCGACTGCAATGTGGAGTTTTTCATGGGAGTTGCATCCAATCATCGAGCCAATTGATTTGATCGGAATCATGAGCCATGAGGCTGCGTGTGAAGTGGTGGCAACACTTGATTGAGAACAAAGTGAAGAAGCTAAAAACTTTCTTTTGCAATGTATTAAGACTTTTGCCTTTTGCGCTTTTGTATGCTTTGCTGTGTGAGTGACATATTGGTGATGAGGAATGAGGAGCGGGGGCAGATTTCGTTGAATTCAAGGATTGAAATGCAGGAGAAATGCAGGAATTGAGGCTGGTTGGCCACTGTGTCAAAGCGATTGGTCGATTGCGTCCCGTTGGCCTTTTGTGACCGATCGAGGCCCTTCCCATCGAGTGAAGGTATCTCAGCTGACCTATGGGAGTGGTTTGGCAGTGGGGACTGTGACATCGGCTTGGATGGGCGTTTGACAGGTGGGGAGGGCGTGAGGGCGTGAGGGTGTCTTCGTGATGGCCATCTGCATGGTCTCAGGATCCCTGAGAGCGATTGTTCCTGTTTGCCTCGAAAACCCCCGCGTCATGCCATTGGATGGCTCCACCGCTGCAAGTGAGCGCGCCAACGCGGCTAGAACTGAGGCAGTGGCGGCGAATCTGTTTCCTGAAGCCTTGGAAGCGACCTGCTGCAAGTGCAGTGGAGGCCTGCTGCGCTAAGAGATGAGAGATGATGAGCATGAGCCATGCAGACAAGGCATGTTCTTGTGGCGGCAGGCACTGTGGAGGATGGCAACGATCTGGGGATGTGCGCGGGGTCACCTGGACATAAAACACATATCAAGACATGATACCAGGTTTTGGACCAGAGTACAATTCCACACTGCATACCCTCTACAGCTCAACACATGCTGCAGCCTATTCTAACATTTATAGCCAGCATTCACCAGAGATCACAAATCACCTCTCCCTCAGCTTTTGTGGCTTTGGGTGCTCGTCTTTGCTGAAACCGAGGACCGCTGTGACAAGGCCTTTCACCAGAAGTGTCATGATCCATGCGCCAGGGCCTTGGCGCAGAGGCCGTTCGCCGTTGCTTGCGTCAGACCGAGCGAGTCAGCCGAGGGCGCGAGGCTCGAACAGGCCGAGGGAGTCACCTCGGCGGCCAGCGACGGAAGAAGAAGGCGCCGTCTGCGTCTCGTCTCGCGTTGCCTCAGGTGAGATACTTTGGTCATCCCGATGACCAGTGGTCCGAAGCTGAATGGGATGGGGTGGATGTGGCCCATGAACTGCAGTTCCACAAAGGAGTGGCTAAGCTTTGCTTCGTTTCGTCCTGTCCAGCGATTGGGCATTCACTCCAAAAGAAACATCCAGGAAAATGAGGAAGCCCTTATGTTCCAAACCTGCACGGGGGTTGTTGCTACATGTTGCTACTGTATGTCCTCAGTTCCCAGTGGAGAACACGTGAGCGGGGTGAATGAGGACTTGCCAAAGCAGAGGAAGAGCAGATCTTCTCTGCAGTCAGATCAGATCATCTTCTTTGCAGTCAATGTTTGGATCGTCCGAGTGGATCTCTTCAGGTTCTGTGCCCAGTGTACCTTGGACTTGGCGCAGATGCGACAGCTGAAGTTGCAGGTCACTTCAGCTCGGTATTGGACCGCCTGCGACGCCACGTCATCGGGTTCTGAGACGAACGGAGCACTCGGGCTGAGAAGGATCCGGGAGAGTCCAGGGTATCCCTTGTGGTTTCCTTTTTTTGTTCCCAACCATCCAATGTATGATATGTGTAGTACTGCTCACAGCAGTACTTGGACAGCAGCGTTGCTTCGATCAACCCCCAAGGGTGGATTAAAAAAAAAATCCGGAAGACTGCCAGAACACCTCTTTTCACGAGAGACAGACTTGGTGGAAATTGGACCTTGCGGACCCGTACAAAACAGGAGGATGACATTGCAGGATAGCCAGCATTCGGCATGTTGAGGATTGGTCAACAACAAAAACCACACGAAAAAGAATGACTCCTGCCGACCAAACGACCATTTTGTCTCCTGAAGACGTGAAGGAAAGTGACCCTTGGTATTTTCGCAACCTCCAGCAGCTCACTGTTGCAGCTGGACAGGTGGAGGAGTTCTGTTGGGTCCAAGCGGCCGGCGAGACGATGCCATGGCCGGTGCGCCGCTGATGGACCGAATGGGGCAGACATGTGAATGTGGGTTTCATGGAAGAGAACCACACCTTGTTTGTGGACTCTTGATCAGTAAACCTCCCCATGTGAAAAGGGTTGTTCACTCCAAATGTGGGGGTTGCTAATCAAGTGTCTACAATTAGACTCGCTGGACTTGCGCTAATCAGTGCAACAACACCGCTTCGTTGTGGCGATGCTGCGAAAACCGAGGCCCAAGTGCTGCGCATCGACTTCTCCTCCTTGGCGGATCCGAAACCCTACTGGGCAGAGCACTGAGAGTGTTTAGTTTTCACCGAAACAAGGATATGAAAATACACCGATGCCATCATATGCCATGTGCTGTCAAGTCCAACTAGCCAGATCGTTTTGGAAAAACACGAGGATTCGCTTGGTGTTGACATCAGAGAAAGTGAGACTGACCTTGTAGCGAGCCAGCGAGCCTGGCTGAACAACGAGGAGTTGATTTTCTTTAGTTCTTTTTTCCAGCCTTGGTTCAAGCCAATTAATTCTTTGGCTGCCACACGTCGGACGGTAGTTTTGAAGACCGACGCGCCCATTTCTAATGGCCATGTTCCACTGGCCGCCGGATGGCCACGTGATTTGCCGCTTTCGTCCGTTCCCAGACCAGGAATGCTGTACATTGTCAGTTCAGAGAACCTTTCTCCACTTGGCCTGTGGTGAAAATCCCTCTGACATGCCGCCCAACCTTCCTGTGCTGCGCAGCAGATCTGCACCTCCAAGAATTCGGTGTGCCGCAGAAGCGACGATGGCCATGGCAGGCACAGCAGGCGCGGCCGCGGAAGGATTCCCGGCGCGCCTGGTGTTGCAGCTTGAGCCGATGATCCCGGAGCCCAGCTTGGCTGAGATCCCGCCAGCGGCGGCCAGCCCGGCTGAGCCCGCTGCGGGAACATTGGAATTGCATGCAGCAGGACTATGTGAGCCCTGCAGATTCTACTTTGGAGTGGCTGGGGAGTGTGTGAATGAAGCAACTTTTTCTTTGGCGATTGTTGGCTTTGGCAGGGAAATGAAGGGACTATCGGACTATCCACTATTTTTCTAGTTCATATATATATATATAAATACATATGCATTGAGAGCTGCCAGGACAACAGAGAAACTTTCTTGGACTTCCACCCATGATTGAGGCAACGAAGCCAAATGTTTTCCTCTTTGGATTTGAGAGATGTTCGCTTGAAAGATGTTAATCCCTCCCTCCCTCCCCTCCCTCCCTCCCTCCCGCCCTGCCTGCCTTCCTTCCTTCCTTCCTTCCTTCCTTCCTTCCTTGCTTCCTTGCTTCCTTGCTTCCTTGCTTCCTTGCTTCCTTGCTTCCTTGCTTCCTTGCTTCCTTCCTTGCTTGCTTCCTTCCTTCCTTCCTTCCTTCCTCTCTCGCTCTCTCCCTCTCTCGCTCTCTCCCTCTCTTGCTCTCTCGCTCTCTCGCTCTCCATCTCGATCTCGATCTTGCGCTCGCCCTCGCTCTCGCTCTCGATCTCGATCTTGCGCTCGCTCGCACACTGATCGGCCCAGGAGGAAGTCCGCTGCCATTTTGGCGATCGGTGCCGAAAGTGCCACTTTTGCACACGTCATGAGGCCAAGAAGCGCTGGCGGATGCTGGGTTATGAGAAGAGGCAGTTGAAACGAGCACAGAATGATGCCCAACCGTAAAGTTGGACGTCTTGGGGCGTCTCAAGAACAGCGCCACACAGGGTGCCATGAATAGATTTGGAGGTGAGGATGACAGACCCAGTAATTACAAAAGTGGTGGGACTAGCTCTGATTTTGAGACGCGCATGAGAACTCCAGGTGGAGCTTTTTTTGAATACATTGGTGACTGTGGGAGAATTTCCGTGAATGAATGCAGCGGCCATCGCGGTAATCCATGTCCCTTTTGCTCTGGCCCTAGCTGGATCTTTCCGGAGAACCAGGCTCCGCAAGAATGAAGAATCAGTCTATGTCTGTTGCTTGAGATTTTCTCGGTTTGTTTGATATGTTTGCACTCATTGGGTGTTGTACAGAAGGCAAACGTCCAAATATGACATGAGGTGACTGGGTTCAAAAACCCGCACTGAGATGCCTGGGAGAGAGTGATCCAGGATGCCATTTGGTGTCTGCAAGCTCGAGGGCCGACAGGGCATACTTGACCTGTTTTTTTTGGTCAAAAGCGGCAGACAATCAGCCTACTTCACTGACCCGCTGGAAAAACAGCTGGTCAAGAGCCTTCAGAGCTGACCCAACGGGTGTTTAGAGATCCGGGGTTCAAGTCTCGACTGACCAATGCTTCCGCCATGGAGTTCGATCGATTCAGGATTTGCAAAATGTTGATTTGGGCGGGACCAGTCAAGGCTGAAGGCCAATCCAATCAGCAACAGTGCCTTTGTATTTTGAGACATGCTGCTGAGTAGCTGTAGCTGCTGTGCTATTTTGTTCCCGAGACTCTGCCTAATTTTATCCCGTGGGGCTCCACTGCCTATAGGTCCAGTACTTTGATGCCGGCCCGCCGGCACCCAAGATCAATGTGTTTGCTCGCTGCGCGACTCCTCGCTGGTTTTCACCGATTGCAGGCAGTCTGAATGTTAGAGTCATCAACTGGTAGGACATAATGAGCGGGAACATGCTTTAGTTTCGGAGTACCCCTTTTTATGCGACCAAGCGAACTGTTTGGCATGTTTATTGTTAGTTTTTTTTGAGATGTTCAGATGTTCCTGGGTCGGGTGGTGCGACCTGGCTTTGTAGGGAACATGTGGCAAGAACATCTGCCAGCCCAAGACATATACGGTATGTAATATATATATATATACACACATAGTAATATAGTATATATACATAGCAAAATATAGATAATACATATATATTGTAATATAATATAATATAATATAACATAATATAGACCAACAAACATCCCAACCCATGAACATCACTCTGTGTTTGGAGACTCCGGAGGCCTCTCCAAAGAACCTCGACAGCCTCAAAGGAAAAGATAAACGACCACACCAAGCACCCTCTTTGGCAAGAAACATCCATCGAAAAACTATGCTTGGGAGGCCTGAAGGCGCCTGGGTTGGGGACACTCACGCCCGGGCCTTAGAGCATGCTTACTGTACAGGGGATGGACGTTGAGGAAAGACGAAGAGAAAATCCAACATCAAGATGATTCGCTAGACATGTGTTCTATTCAACCCTTTGACTTTCTATTCTATTCGTTTGACCACTTTGAATTGAGTCTATTCCTCGGAGTGGTGCTGCCTCTTGGTCGAGCCTATTGTTTTTAAGTAGCAGTTCCAGGTGCCATGGCCCGAACTCCGCATGGGAGTTCGATTTGTTATGGATTTTTGACCTTTCAGAGCCATCGAACTCCTCCCATCGGTGAACGTCTTGGCCCCCAAAACGCGTCGGGTGCCGCAGGTGAAGTGCTGGTCCGAAGGCCCTGGCTTCATGAGCATTGCCCAAACCAAGCGCCGCAACGCGGTGCGCTTGGCCGAGGCCGGTTGTTTCAATGGGGGGGGGTTGGTAGCTGGTTCGGGTGGGGGGGGTTCAGGTGGGTTTGTGGTGTTGGGAAAGAGATGGAGGGGTGCAGAGGAAGGGACACTTGGAGGTAGGCCTTCGTTTTTTGAAATGGGTCTTTGACACGAGGATCTTTACAAACCTATCAACCGTAGAACACCTGTGGAGATAGCACTTTTCAGCCTCGCAGCAGAAGACGCATCGCAGCGAAAGACGCATCGCAGGTCTCTCTGACCCGCCTTTCCGTCGACCTCGTCGGGCTTCGACAAACGCCTGGACCCGTTGAAGGATCGCAGTTCCCGAAAGATCTGGGAAGATCTCTCGGAACAGACCTGAAAAGACGCGAAAAGACTGCCTTTTAAACCAGTTGAGACTGACAGGACAGTAAGCTCAACCGTTGGTGAGCGACTGAGACAAATAGAGGTTGGGAGGGAGAAAAAGGATGAGCAACATGGATGCATTGCGAGAGCAACATGGGGACCCAGCACTCCCTCAGTCCCGGGGGAAGTGAAAATGGGAAGGTCTTGGACATGGAACCAGAAAGACCAGTCCCCACAGCCCCCCACAGCTGTTCAAAATCCAACCAGGAACAGGGCAAGGAAACTGCTCATTGAACCAGAACACACCGGAGACACAAAATCTGCCCTGCATATGACTCTCTCATCTGACCGCCATGTCGAGTGCTCAGTTCACCGGTGGTTCGCCTTGAAATTGGGGAGACCCCTCATAGACTCCTTAAACTTCAACCCAGCGGACCTCCGTTGAAAGTGGAAGACATTAGCAAAAACCCTCCAGGCCGCAGGGGCTCCCACTGTGAGCATTGACCGCCTGCCCATTGGTGGTTCTGACCTCAGAGATCCGGAGGCAAGCCGCAGTGGGGAAGCGTCGCAGGAACGCCCTCCGGTCCTCGCCCATGTGAGGGACGTTCATCCTCTCGTCACTCGAATCTCAAAGACAAACATCTCTCAGAATGACTGATATGATCCTTTATCTATGTACATATACACAAACACACATTTTGACAAATTTATAGGGATGATTATGTTGTTATCGTATTGTCATTATATGACTATGATCATGATGACGACTATTATATACCTGAGAAGGCGGGGACGAAAGCCAGCCACCGTAAAAGATATCAATATGGTCATGGGGGGTGAATGCGAGATCCCTGGTGAGCTCCCCACCTCTTTTCCTATCACACCCTCCCCCGCTATGCCTATCCTGCACATGAACTCCCACTCCAATATGGGGTGCCCTTTTGTGTCTGGTCAACAGACCTCTTCACCATAAAAAAGGGGCACCCCCAAGCAACTCAAAGCTTGCCCGCTGCATTCTGTTCTCTTCTCCCCCCAACAGACCGCATCAGTACATGAACTCGCACCCCATATGGGGTGCCCTTTTGCGTATGGTTGACAGGCATCTCCACCATTGAAAAAGGGCACCCCCAAGCAACGCCCAGATTTCTTGCAAACCATCTTTTCCTACCCATCCTCCTCGGCTATGCCTGTCTTCCACCTTCCCCACAGCATTCTGTTCCCTCTCCTGCCCTCACAGATCACACACTGTCTTAAGAGACCCCCCCCCCCTTTCACGCCTAGTCGAACACTTTTTCAAACGGCCACCAGGCGCACATCTCCCTTTGCTGGAGGAGTTCCAACCACTTTTCGCGTCCCGTTGTCCCCTTTTTCCTATCGTTGACATAAACTCCCAATTGCCTCCTGAGCCCCTCTTACATCACTTGCATCACAACACCTCAAAAACCATACATTTTTAATCCCAATCGTGCACTCATTTTTTTCGCTCTCAGTCTCTGGGTTAGCCCTCCGAAATTGATTCGTGTGCGACCACCCACTTCGTTCGCCCAACCCAACTTCAGCCTAGCCTATCGGCTGGCTTTCGTGATTGCTACTATTAGTGAGTTGTTGTTACAATATTGTCCTTTCAAGTCTCACATCACCAAAGCTGGGCTTGGGCGCTTTGGCGTGCTGCTTCTCTGGGGCGAAGCCGCTCCAGGTTCGCAACCAGCTGCCCGCAAGCGTCCCCGCACGGAGATGGAGGCGGAGGTGGGGTGGGGTGCTAGCAGTAGTGGAGGGTGGGCAACTCAGAATCCATGCTTTAACTCCAACTACCACTGGTACTCGTACCATGGAATTAGATATAGATATTTGTTGATTGGGTTCCCTCACTTGAGACATGTTCTATTTTTTGGGGTGTTGGTGGATGTTGGAGAAGGATAGCAAGAGGTCTAGCTGTAGCTAAAGAAATGACCAAACAAAAGGCAGTGGAAGATTCCATGACACAAATTAAGTTTGGGACAGATCTCTATGTAGGGTGTAGTCACAGTGCCTTCGAAGGGTCCCTGGTTGAGAAAGACTATAGCCTTAGAAACCACCCTTGCAAGTGGTAGCGTTACTGCTTGGGATGTGCATACCAGAAACCCAGCAGATGTTCGAAGGGCAGGAAAGGAACAATCATGGGCAACGGCAAACATGTCTTGCTTAGATCCATGCTTTTAACAGTATCTATTTCTTACCCACATTTGTGGGAGCAGAAGCTAACTTCCAAGCTCCTGATAATCCAGTGGCTGGTGGATTATTTGGATCGGCCAAGCAGGGGGATCCACCGGGTCAACAGGGGCGACTCCGCCGGGTCAAGAGCCGCCGCCCGACGGAGGAACCGAGTTCACGCTCCTTTCGCGCCAGGCGCCACGGAAAAGGGCTCCGGGAGGAGCTGGAGACGAGGCTGGACATCAAGGGAAGCCTTGGAAGTTAGGGAAGCTCTACAGTAGCCGTGTTTGGCGTTGGGTCAATCTCCGGCCCGGCCGTGGAGACGTTCGGATGCGCCGGGATCGGCATGAGCAATGCATGGACCGCTTGGAGACCTTTGCAGGCTTGCAGATTCCCAATACGTCACACTTTCATTACTCTCTCAACCTAAGCACTGTACAATCTGTCCAGGTCCTTTTTGACCTGGTTGATCCATCCTGACCTCAGCTGACCTCACCTAAGTAAGGTCCAGCCAAAGTCACACGGGTGATTTGGCCATCTGATGCCATTTGCCACACACAAAGGCAAAGGGTTGCGGGGCTGGAATGTGTATCCACCTGTGCGCAGGAGCAACAGGTGCGCCGCAGCAGACGTGGAGAGGCCACGGCGGGAGTCCAAAAGGACACGTCGACGTGTTTTTTCAATAAGAATCGACCACCTGTCTTTTTTAAAGAGAGACTTCACATATATCATATATGGTATACAGATGTATACAGTCATAGTCTTCATGTATACTATTTTTTTAGTTTTAAGTCTCTCTGGTTCACGGTCATGCGACCCTTGCTGTGGACACCACGCTTGCGCGGTTCATCGTCCGGTCGAGGCCAACGTGACGCTGCTCACCGAGTTGAAGCCGCGGCCGCGCGCAGGCGCCCGTCGGGGTGCCGAGTGTGGCCGTGACAACCCTGAGATCCCTCAGACTGGACAGTCCGAAGTCTGCCAAGCAGAGCCGAACGAACATTGAGAAGTCTGCGACGGGCCGGTTTGGACTCCGCAGACCAAACCAGACGCCCAGACCCTCGTGCGCCCAGACCGTACCTTGTGCGCCAAGCTGCAAGAGCCGCACTTATCGCACCTGGGCCGTGCCAAGGCTTGGAGTCGCCTGAAGTGCGGAAGCAGCTTCCAGCAGTGGCGCTCTTAGTGGATGGGTTTCGGAGTCTGAACGGTCTGGGAAGGAGTGTGGAAGGGTGGTTTGGAAGGTGGTGTTGGAGGTTGCTACCAGGCATGTGAGGGTGCTGGATTGGACTGGATCTCTTCATGAAATACGGGCTCCCGTGTTGATGGCTCACGGCAGCCAGAACGGCTCTCCTGGTCACTCGCGCAGCGACGGGGGTTCGGATTCTCTGGGAGGCGACTCAGAACCCGACTCCGCGAACGGATGACTTCAGCCGGGCCAGAGATGGCAACTGGGGGGACCGAAGTTCCACTGGTGAGTGGACAGAATCTGCAGGGCTGGGACGTGCTCCCAACGCTTGGGACAGGTCCGAACAGGCGAAGCGGCGGTCATTCTAGACCGTTCTTCCAGAGCTTTCTAGGTGGAGAGAACCCATGTGAACCTATCTGCCATGATCTCAGCTTTTGAAGCCCTAGGATGTGGAAGGCCCTCCCTCGACGGAGAAGCAACCGCGTGGAGAGCGACAGGCGGATCCCAGCAGCCGTGGGCGGGGCTCGACATGGCTCGACCTTCGTGCACTGGACACTTGGACAGGACCACGAAGGGGAACAAACCTGTCATCACGTGCTTCTTCAACGACCCAGTTCACATCTTTTGTTTTTCTTGCACAGTACGCGATAGATACACAGAATCAGAGCATACAAGGGCCAAGAGGGTCTGCTGGCACTACCTTCAGGAAAAAGTTCTGATGCAAATGCCTGAGAGCCTGAGATGTTCTGAAAAACATCTACCCTGCCACCTGATACTGTATATACCGATAAATGTGTTGAGGGTTCTTGTTTGTGAGTGTGTGTCATGTGTAAGTTTGATTTGTTTGATCTCTTTGTGTTTTGTTTTGGGTCTTGATAGCCGACGAACTTTGCCTCGCTTCGAAGGCAAATGTCGATGAGACCAAGAACCTTGTGGCGCAGCTCAAGGACGCTGCACGATCTGCGCATCATGAAGACCTGGCCAGATGCGCGGATCAGGTTTCAGACTGTCCGGCTTTGGAGAAGAGAAACAGACTTTTTATGCGACCCGTCTGTATTTCACCTGTCTCAACTCTGTAGTCCCTTTGCGCCTTTGCATTTGCTCCCGACCTGACGGGAGATGTCGTCAGCCTATGGAGATGCCGCCTCGCGTTTTCAAGACCACTGCAGGAGCAGCAGCGCAGGGTGGAAGAAGCCGTGGCGCAGCAGGTGGGAAGAATCAAAAAATGATCATATATGATCATGCAAGCCCCTGGAAACATCTTGCGCAGGGGTTAACAACCAACCCATGGGAGGCCTTTAACGACCTTGACCGTGATGTTTCTGGTGATTTGTTTCAATGTCTTCTTAAGTGCCAGCCTTGTAATCATCATGGAAGATTGTCGTCCTCAACAACTTGCCTTTTCGCTACACTTGGTTGATAGCTGCACTTGTGGGAGGCTTGCGCATGTTCTCGGGTCTTGGAAGAATTGCCAACCATGTTCTGGTGAGTTTCCGTGGATTGCTCTGTACTCTTGGGGTGATGTTCTGGGTGCGGGCCTCTCTCAAGAGAACTGTAGCAATTCTTCCGTCGCAAGGAACTGGTAACCGTTGGTTGAAAGATAATTGAAAGAGGAAGACACCAAGGTTTCTGTTGATCATTGTTGAAGGTGTGAACGGTGAACGGATCAAGCAAAGCAGCAAAGCGAGGGGAGGTTCGGTGATGGGGGATGTCAAGCAGAGTTCCTTTGAAGTCACTGTATGCTTTGTGCAGCACTCTTTTCTCCTCGAACAGGAGGCTGCGAGCTGAAAGTCGGGGATGTGGGGGATGCGGCAGCAGGACACTGGCTGCGTGCGGTGTCAGCAGGAAACTGGATGGCTGTGGCGAGCCCTGCAGGATTGCGGCCATCACAGAGAGGGGTCCTACATGGTCCTACCATTTTTTGTGGAAAGCTGATGATTTGAAGGTTAAGCCATGATGGGCGCCACAGCTCAGTTTCTTTCGCAGGCTGTGGGAAGGATTTTCTCACATGCCCATGCATGTGTTTCTTTGTCGCCACAAATGCACATCGCCTGTGCAGTTGTTTGACGGTGGCAAATCGATGAGGATGCTGTCGGCCAGGTTATTGTAGGCTGATGTGCACTTTGATAGACGCTTTGATTCTGGGTCGACAAGGTTTTTGTGCTTTGGAAACTTTAGGTGTGGTGTCCTAAAACTACACCGATCTCGTGAAGTTGTTGTACAGGCTAAGCTAATTCGTCCGTGAAACTTGGCGAGGCTTTTCATTGCCTTGCTTTTTGGGTGGAGAGACAGTGCGATGCACTGCCACTCCTGATCTGAAAGCTTATTGGTGCCGAGCTTGGGAAATCCTATTCATAAAATGAAGACTAACAATTTTTCTTGAATTCACATACATATTTTTTATACACGCAAGATCTGCGACAAATTCTATATAATGTATTTTTTATTTATATATATCTTATATTTCTTTGATTTAGAAGGAATTTTGATTTTCGATATATATTTTTAGATTTTTTGATTTATTTATAGTGATAATTTGATATAATTATGAATTTCTAGGAGTTATAAAGGGGTGGGGTTTGATTTTTAAATACTAAATGAATTTCTATCGAAAAATAAAATAAAATAATATTATATTATATATATAGATTTTTTTTTTTTTTAAATTATTATTAATGTTATATATATATTATTAATTTTGTAGTTATAAAAATATTTTAAATTATATATATTTATAGAAATTGATTTATATATTTTTATATAATATATTCATTAACAAAATATATTTAAATTATTTAATAAATATTTTTGAATATTATTTTATATAATTAATATTTTAATTACATATATATTAATATATATTTTATAAAAAAAATGTAAACCTTAATTTATATTAATTAAATATTTATATATTTATATATATAATAAAATTATTACGATTATATAATAATTGTTAGGGCATAAATCACGATGAAAACCGTCGAAAATACGTATTAATTATGCCAGGGGATTTCAAGGCCTATTACAATAAATCGTCGTAGATGGATAATAAAATCTAAAATCGATATAAGACGGGATTACAAAATTATATTTGGAATATTGGAAATTATATCTATAGACACACTTGGGAATACTCGCGCATATGAAGGGGTTGATACCATTCATCGATTAGACTTTATAGAAAATATTTTTGCGGGTGCGCGATTTGAAGCAATGGTACTAATATGGACCCTTGATGCTCGGTGGGGGGTCAGAAGGTATTTTTGCCACCCTACCCGGAGGCTGGTAAGGCGGTTATTGCCCAAACAATTATCTCCAAAATATAATATAAGTATTATCAAGATGGTTCGGCGGCGTTTTATTGCACCGTCTGGCACCTTCCCTCAAATTAAGGTGCCAGGAGGCCTCCCAAAAAGGCCTATGAATGATATTATATAATTATTAACATGATCTTGGGTGAGTGAGGTTTAAAGCTGCACCCGCAATATATTAAGGATAGATTGCCCGAATTCTGCATTCGAAGGTGAGTCAAAATACAAATCATTTCTTGAGCCTTTGGGCGTTGGTAGCGGCTAGGGGTTACGTTGAAGGCTCGTGGGTCTGTATCTCATCAGGATCAGTTGCGTGATGTTATTGCCACTAAGCTTGAGGACCAAATGAAATAATTCTATAGGCTCTCCTGGCTGCGGACCGACAGGTCGAACCACTATGGGACGGAAATCGTGGTATTATCTGCTCCCTGATCCTTTGGCATTTGCTTCATGGTAGCAAATCTCTGAATGAAATCTGTCTTCTGAATCAGACGTAATATGGATTGCAATACTTTATTGAGATTTTCCGAATTCATTGGGTCCTGTTTGTTTGGTCGTAGGCACTGTATATGAGGATCCCAATTCTTGTAGTTCCAATGATTCGACGAAATAGGGATCTATTTTGTTCGGAGGTCCTGATTTGAGGCGTCGTCTGATACGTCGAATTTTAATGTCATTATTCGACGAATTAGATCTTCTGGCAAGGTATGAAATAGGAATAATCGCAAAGATTGAAAGGCTTCCTCTATTTGGCATCGATTATACGATTCCATCGAAATTTATATCATCAAGGGCATTACGCTTCCTTTGTCGCATTGCAGAAATATCACGAACGAACGGTCTAATGCTAGTTGATTGAGCTGATCTTTTTGTCTGATATTTAGCCGGGCTAATATTAGCAACAGGTCGTTGTCCTGCGAGGAAGAGCCCTTGAGTTGGATGTTCTGTTGGAGCGATTAGGTCCGGAATTCCATTTGGATGACTCGTCTATCACTGTTCGAGGGCGTTTGCTAAAATATTCCCCATATATTTCTATTAAATTGGAGAAATTTTGATCGTCTGGCTGCATAATCTCTGGCATATTGGTTGATCAAGCTCGGATATAATAAGTGGTTTTGGGCCAGGGCGTGCTCAAGATAATACAAAATGGCGACACATAATTTAACCTATTCATGCGGGGAATCAAAATTCGATGCATACCTATATAATTGCGAATCTTGGTCCTGTAAGAGTCCCGCCCAAAGGACGGGGATATATTGATTGATAAATTGCAGGATGGAATTGATCTAAATTATCGGAAGGCATACCTGTGGCAGATCCGATTAATGGATGATCTATATGATGATGTATATGAGCCATTGCAATCGGAATTCAGGTCAGAAGGGTATTGAATATTCTGGTGAGTGACGAATTGTGGGGAATAGGCCTAGATTCGGGTGATCCGATATTGGCTGGCTGGGGGGGAGGACTTACGAGATTATATAAGCAATAGATCGGGGTCACGTCTGGCAAACTGCCATGCTTGGCAGGAGATATGATCGGATCAAAAGACAATCCACGAAGGATATGATAGATTCGGATTGGAGATAAAGATCTTTGGCAGGACTTTCTATCCAAATATTTCGGGCATAAAGGATATTCAAATGTTCTGGCGCATTTCCCTGGGACGATTATCTTCGTTTGGGGCACTTAATCGAGGTGGCTGCATCGGCCTGCATGGAGCCGGAGGCGGAAGGCTATTCATGAGAGGCATGGGTCTGTCGTATATATTGCTCCAAGCCCTGGGTACTCGTTTGGCATCGGTTGCGATGATGGAGGGTCGGGACTGAGAAACGGTCAATCTCCGGGGATGGCCATGGAGCCTCTGGCTTGGGGCGGTATATTTGGATATGATATGGATCTCCAAATCAAGGTAATAAATATCAATTTGGTCAGATTCAGGAAAAATATTCATAATTCGCTTGTTCATAGGCATCATCGGGTAATGGTCTGGGTGCATATTATGACCATCAAGGGTTGAATCTTCTGGGATTTCAATTGATATAATAGATATACGCCAATCCCTGATCCGAAGTTCGCGGCCTATTTGATCCTGTCTATGCAAGGTTTATCAAAATGGATTGATATTCAATTTGGTGTCGATTCAAAAAATGTATAAGAATCTTGTAATTATACAATGCTATGATTGGCAAATTCAACACGAAGAGATATCTGTGCGGCGCGAGGCAGGAATGGATCAAATTGAATATATTTTATGGGAGGTGCAGGATGACCAAATCACGTCTCATCATATTCCAATCTATGGAATCAATTTTTTTCCATATTAAGAGATATCTGGAAATCATCATGAAGACCAAATCGATCAAGATTCTTTTGATCGGATTGATATGCTACTCGAACCATGCGGCAATGCTCTGACACAAACAATAAATAATCGATGGTGCTTCTGCCGGGCAAATATGCATATAATGGTAGGCCGCGCAAAATTGAATATGTAATTCGCATGATTTGAATAATAAGGATGTCCAAAATAGATTCATTGATGGGGTGCTGGAGGCATATCGGTCGCAAGGCCTGTGGTTTATTGCATGTTGTGCCAGGCTTGGCTAGCAGGTGGAGCCAACCTGCCGACCAATGTGGAAGGTGGGATTGCATTAGCCTACTGCTATCTATCCTGAATTGCACGAAAAATCATAGGAACAATATCCGGTGCAAGAATCTTCCATATAATAGTCGACAATCAGGTGTCAAGACCTCTGTGGCAGATAAAGCATTCCGACCGCCAGTCAGGCCTTTCAAGATGAAAAGTTCAGCCTCAAGTGCCGGACGGCCAGGGAGATGAAATTCTGGATCGTTAAATATATTATCAAAGAATGCTGATATTTTTTTGAAATTCAGATTCGGATGCGTCGATGCCATTCGAAGGCATCGTATTGCAAGGTATGGTCAACACTATCAATGAGAATTAATATAAATCATTTATAAATCCTTGTTGTTTGTACAGACGATGGATCTGCTTGATATATTTTCCTGAAGAACTCCGGTAATATTGAATCGGTTATGGTCATAGCCTCCCGTCTGGTCTATCATATGCGCGGAGAAATTGATGACGTGGGAATGGGGGCGTCATGCGATGTGGACTATCGAGAACATTTTATTTAACATAATTATTTTGAGGAATTGTCCCGATGCCAAATTTGCATCAATCGACTCTAATATTAACTAAATCTTTAAATTTGGGTTCAGCAATCTCGGCAAAAGGTTTTTTTTAGCGTCCCATAAATAAATCAACGATACATATTATTAATAAGAATAATAAATAGATTTTGATATATAGATATATTTTATCTTCTTCCCACTTAAATATGATAAAGAACTTCTAATGCGGCATTAATATACCATATATATAGATTAATATATAATTATGAAATCATTAAATCGATATATATATAAATTCGAATCCGAATCTAAATATATAAATTAAGAAAATATATTGCAAACAATATATGGAAACATCAATTATATAGAATATATATTACATTTGTTATTTCAATATATATATATATATCCGTCGATCCTGGCCTTGCTGACGCCTAGCCGGGGCGGCGCCTAGGACACCGTAGGGTGGAAGCCGTTGCCAATGGATATGCCTTGCAATATCCAGAACAATCGCCCTCTTGGCCTGGCTTTTGCAACCTCCAATTGGGACCTCCCCTGAATCTTTTTCTATTAGGGACTTTTGGCAAGTACCTCGGACTTGTCTTGGTCCCTTGGGCTGGCCTAAATGCCTCCCTGGTACCGGCCTAGATACCTCTATCTATAGGCTTTCGAAGGCGACGATAGGCACTAACAACGGCCGGGCCCGAGACATTTCAAACCCCCTTAGACCCTGGTCCATAGGCAGCCCGCCATCGGCTTTTCCTGGTCCCTGCAACTACCTCGGGCTTGTTTTGATCCCTTGGGCTGGCCTAAACACCTCTCCCTGGTGTTAACCTAGACCGCTCTACACTGGCAACGGCCGCCCGAAACATTCCAAAATCCGGTAGACCTTGTTCCATGGCAATTGGCCATAGGCTGCTTTTGGCAGCTACCTGGAGCTTGTCTTGGTCCCTGCAATTACCTCGGGTTTATTTTGATCCCTTGGGTTGGCCCAAACACCTCTCCCTGGTGCTGGCCCTAGATACTATATCTATAGGGTTTCGAAGGCGGTATTAGGCATTGGCAGCGGCCGGGTCCGAAACATTTTAAAAGCCTTGGACCCTGGTCCATGGGCAGACGGCCATCGATTTGTCCTGGTCCTTGCCAATGGCAATTACCTCGGGCTTGCCCCTGGTCCGTAGGACTGGCCTAAATACCTCTTCCTAATCTTAGTGTGGATATTTCTATTCATTGGGTTTCGAAGGCGATGCTAAGCATTGGCAACGGTCGAAATATTTCAAGACCCCCTGAGACCCGGTCCATGGGCAATCGGCCATAGGTTGCTTTTGGCAGCTACCTGGGACTCATCCTAATTCCTAATCCGTGGAATTAAGTTAAATATCTTTCCCTGTTACTAACCTAAATATCTCTATCTATTGGATTTCAAAAATCTTAAGCATTCGGCCGGGCCCGAAACATTTCAACATTCCTTAGATTTACTTTTGACAATTACCTAAATTCCATAGATTAACCTAGATATTTAGTTTTTAATTTTCGATAACAATATTATATATGCATTAATAACGGTCGGCTCCGAAATACTTCAAATTCCTTTAAAATTTAACTCCTAAACATCTGGATATAAATTACTTTTAACAATTACCTAAGATTTATTTTCATTCCTTGAAATGATATTAAATGCCTAAAAATAATCTAAATTTGTAAATATATTTTTATCGTTTTTATCTAAATATTTTAATTTATTATATTTTTAAAAATATTATTAAATAATAATAACAATCAAACCTTAAATATTTCAAAGATTCTTCAAATCAAATCTATAATTTATTTTTAATAACTATTTAGCATTTTTATTAATTCTAGCAATTAATAAAATTATTTATATTAATTATTACGAATCATTTTATTTTTATATATTTCCCTAGTGTTAACCTAGAAATTTTGATTTCTTAAATTTTAAAATCGTCATTAAGTATCAATATAGTTAACTTCAAATTTCAAAAAAATCAAACAAAAATCGATAAAATCAATATATTACAATTATTTATTATATCTATATTAATTTAATTATTATGTATATATATATATTATGTACTATTTAAATTATTGCCTCATTCACTGAGATATGTCCAGGAAAAATCTCCAAATATAGAGTATTTTTCTATGCTCTCAAACACCTGGCTTTGCATGTCAAGGAGAAGATCCAAGTCGTCATTTATGACCACTAGGTGCGGAAGCAATGGACGCCACACCGAGCCTACGAGAATTACCCCGACTTATTCACCGGGCTCGAGTGCGAGGACTTCGAAATAATCCGACCCTTGTTGTTTGCGCGCAAGGAATTCAAGGAGAATCCTCTTCGAAACTACCTGCATAAAAAGACCATGAAGGTTATCAAGGAGGTTGCAGCGCGGCACACTCCCACTACCATTCTCGATTTACAAACCAACATTAATGAAGACGCGGAAAGCATCCTCCTGGCGAATACAAAGAGAATTAAAACCTTATTGAAAGATAAATCCCACTACTTTCACAAAGGTAGGAGCACTAAATCAGGCAAGGTGCCATTCATCCAACAGAAGAAGGAAATCCTTCAAGAATTAATATCCAAATCCCCCCAAAATAGGCACAACTAGGCGCCCTTCCGCACTAACGCGATTTACAAACATTGCAAACAAAGGTTCCACTCCAAGAGTCCCATTCAAGAGCTCCGAGATACTCTTTCCCAGGACTATATTGCCCCAATTACAACAACCAATCAAGCATAAGACGCACATAGAAATCATGAAAGACATCATCCAAAACCTATATTCGTTGCCGTAAATGCAAAAGCTATGTGTTCGCCAGAATTTCTCAAAAAGCCTTTGAGAAATGGCTCCATGCGCCATCCGAAGTTAGCGCGAATCCTAAAAATCAACCTGAGAAGCTGCAAAACGAAAGCCAGCGCTTCCCTTTCTCGACAACTGCGCGTCGAAGCAAGCAAATGAGCTCGCGCAGCTGCTTGCGGCCGCGTGTCAAATCTGCTTCATGTCTTGTTCTGCCCACACAGAAGTAACCATGTCAAAACAAAAACCTGCGCTTCCTGGCAATTGAGGGATTCGGTGTCATTTTGCCCGGAAATTTCCTCTGCACAGGGGGGGGTTTGGATGGAATCCGATGTTTTAGGCCGTAGCCAAACCTATCCACATTGACATCATTTGGTGTCTGGACATGGAATGGGAGGTCTCACTGTGGGAAGTGCAGCATGGCCACATGAACGGGACTTGCTTTACAGGTTGACACTGGATCTGATCCACTAAGGTTGAGCATGACCCTACCTATGGTCTGGTTTTCACCAACTATTGCTGGGCGCTCGATAATTGATATCACCGGTTCATCATTGCACCCACAAGTGTGATAGACCTTCAGAAATGGCCAGTGAGCAATGGAGATACCAAAAAGTCCAAGGGGTACACTGTGTACATCGATTGAACTAATCATAGAAGTGGAAAACCACCTGTTGGGGCTATGCCATCCACTTCTATGCTTATTTCGGGGAGTGTGCACCTAGACATACCGCCTATAAACCCTAAGGGTTGGACTATGGAAGCATATTGCATATGGACCCTTGACTGACCTTCCAAATCCTCACCTGAGTCCCCTTCAGGTGTCCACAATCGACCACTCTGGTGCAAGCAGAAGCATGCCCACAAGATTGAATCCAGCCCTTGAACGTGCCCAAAACGAAGGTCAGGCAGGTGGCTTATTTAGTTTAGTTTTAATCCTATAGTCGTTTGCATGTTGCTCTGAAGCTAGCCTGGGCCCGTACAAATACTATGTTGCCAAACCTCTTACACACCCACACAAGTTCAAAGCACGAATGAGACTTCAAAGCTGTGGATTGCTGCGCGTGTGTAGAGGCTATCGAGCGGTTGACGGAAAGGGAACTTGAAGT